CCACTGTTGTTTAGTTATGCATGCTTGAACCTTGGCTATTGGATCACCCTATATATGATCAAACACATGCTGAAATGATCACATAAACCATACCCTCTGTAATACTGTAGTTTGCAGCTGAAAAAAAAAAGTATCAATGTTCATGGACACTCACAGGCCTTACATAAAAATACAGGCACTGCTCCATATTTCATTATTGCTATAACTCATTCCCCTGATAAATGTGTTTAATAATGTTTTTTATCTAATATGGAGACAAATGCACAGTGCCTCTCCTCACAAGTGAGATGTTTTTTCATCTGTGCACATTATTCCTAGCCAGAAGTGTTTTCATTATGAGGAACTATAATGATTTTTAATATAACGCACAAACAGATATACTGGCCTGGTGGCCTGATGGCTGCCCATGTCTTTGAGATTCCCCAAAGGAGCAAACAGAGAGAGGAAGAGCATGCCGTTTCAAATTTCTCTGCAGTGAATAACTGCCATTAGACTGGTGGGAATATTATAATCATGTGTCATTACTGTTCAGAGCTATATGTTACAGCTACTTATAAAAAAGACAGACAACGCCTTTCTGTTAGCATTAACATCATCAGACTCAGCACATTCTGGAATACATTCTGTGCTGACTTTTTACACAATTCATCAAAAGAGCACCATGTAAGGTAGTTCAAATTTAGGAAAGGCTTTCTGTTAAACTGAGCATGATGGTTACTGATGGCATTGTTTAGGCACTCTACAATTAGTTTTATATAACCCTTTTCAAATTATCATCAAGAGAAAGAGCATTCAAAATAAACAAATAAATGCATAAATAAATACGTAATAAATCTACTAAATTCAGCTGGGTACTAAATGTCGTCATAAAAAGGCACACTTAGTTGGAGAATGAATGAATGAATGAATGAATGAATACTTGTATGTATGTGTGTGTGTGTATATATATATAATAAATGTATAATTATTATTATTATTATTATTACATGTGTCGCTTTCTAATAAAAATTATAATAAATGTAAGAAAATCAGAAAAAAATGCTACATTTCTTAAAATTATAAAGTCACAAATATTTATTAGAAGAGGCAGAATATTTTTTATTTTATTTTATTAATACCCATAACTTCCAGGGGGGTATTCCAGAAAGCAGGTTATGTGACATACCCGGGTATGCTTAAGGGTAAGTAAGCAGTTAAACTCAGCTTTCGGTTCCAAAAACGGAGGTAACTAAGTAGCCATAGCAACTTATTCCCTGAACATAACCTGCTCCGGAGTAGGTTATGTTTCAGGGTTAGTTTACTTCAGCGCTATCAGCACATGCGTGACCTTATAATATTATATATGATTACAATATAGTTATCAAATATACAATATATATACAATATATATTATATTTATTGTCATATTTAATAGCGATATATATTAATTATAAAACACTATTATAACAAGTTAATGTTTATTTTATTCTAATATATTTTTTATATTTTATTGTCATCTTTTATTACTGCTTTTTCTATAATGTATTTCTATAATAAAAATACATATGTGATATTTCTTATTATATAATTAGCATCAAACAAACATTATACTTCTTATTCTCAGTGATTATAAGATTAAACGAAAAAAAATTTTGAAAAATGATTGCACAACCATCAATTAGGTGGCGATATGCAGTAAGTATGTAAATGACCACTGAATAAAAGAAGAAGAAAGAAGCAGCATGGTTTCCATGGTGACTCGTCGATTCCTTGCTCTGTTGAGTATGTCTTGTGTGTTAACCGTGAACATACTCAGAGTTGACTGAACTTACACCCAGACGCGTTTATGGAACCAGCATTCCTCAAATAAGCCATGTTTGGGTTAATCAGCCGAGAGTTCAGGGTATATGTGACGGTAAGTTAACCTTGCTTTCTGGAATACCCCCCGGAGAACCTGAAATGTTCACTGTTTACAGCGTGTTTTTGCAGCGGTGAGAAATGTAGCCAATCACAGACATGTTCGTTTATCTCTTGAACACAATGGCCAATCAGAGGTGTTTAAGTTAGAATCCACTCACCGCTCCAAATGCTGGAGTTTTTGTTCAGTGTTGAGTTATGCTCTCTCTCGTGAATCCTGTCTCATTAACAAACAACTATTCATTATGCAGTGTAGACAACTTTATTGATTTTAATGGAACGTTGTGAGATCGCAAACTAACTTTTAGTGATTGTAAAGTGAGCGGTCTTTCGCACTTAAGGCTATAGCTATATAAACCGTTGAATAAAAGTATTGTTTTTCACGCTGCTATGAGGACCGACGGCCAATTATACGCTACAAAGTTTTGGAAATTATATCTAGCCTACATATAAATGTGTGATTCACTCTGAATCTGCAACTGACATTGTGATACTAGCACAGGACAAAAATATGGCATGTCACGCGCAATGTAAATGCAGACTAGATTAGAAAAATATTCGTATCAAAATATAGGCCTATTTTTAAATTCCATTCCAATTTTTTGTAAAACTAATGCCTTGTAAATAATCTGAAATTTCTCACTGTACATTGCTATTCTGTCATGGTGGAGCCCTTGCTTACACATTATATCTGCACTTTATTAGAAAACCCTCACTCAGTGATTTGATTCCTAATTGTCCATCTCACAGTAAAAATTTAAATGTTAAGTTTTAGTAAACTTGAAGCTAAAGTTTTAAAAAAATGTTTATTTGTCCTTCTGACAGTAAAATTAAAATGTGAATTTTTAATAAACTTGTAGTTAAAGTTCAGGTAACTGGAAATGTCCATTTGAATTAAAATTAAAATATAATATGACTCTGCAAATCCATTAAAATAATTTACAACAACTGCAAACAATTGTGATTATTATCTCAACATGTTTGTTTTTATGATGCATTTTAACAAGTCAAATACAGGCCTGTGCAACAACAATAATGTGCATAGTTCTGATCTACTGTCTTAACATAATATACATGTAGGCTAATATAATAATATTTATTCTTAATCATAATATGGTTAGTTTCTATTAATATTGAAGGCTATATGCTTAAGCAATTAATACTTAGCTCTGCTCGACACATTTTGTATTGGGGGTCCCTGCTCCATTGCCTAAGGGGTCCTTGCCCTGAAAAACGTTGATGACCCCTAGTATAGTACATTTTGCCACCTAATAGATGGTTGTGCAATCGTTTTTAATATTTTTCGTTTCATCTTTTAATCACTGAGAATAAAAAATGATTGTTTGTTTGATGCTAATTATATTAAATATATTATATAATAAGAAATATCTCATATGTATTTTTATTATAGAAATGCGTTATAGAAAATGCAGATCCATGATGTGTGAGATTACAATAAAATATAATAAATATATTAGAATAAAATAAACATTATTATGTTCAGATAATAAGTTATACTTGCCCTGAGAGTTACCTCCGTTTTTGGAACCGAAAGCTGTGTTTATCCGCTTACTTACCCTTAAACATACCCGGTATGTCACACCTGCCACACCTGCTTTCTGAAATACCCGAATACCTCCCTGATAGGAATAAAATTGTATAAGACCCAAAGCCCCTATAATTCTTGGGCAGGCATGCGTGCATGCGTGAGTGAATGAAGGGTTTTCATTTGTTTTAGTAAATTGTGTACTCACGCATCTCAGTCAGCAGATGGCGCTGTTAGTTTGATTAATTGACTGCGGAATAGCATTCCGTTTTGAAGGGAAATTATGAATTTGTTTTTGGTTTAATCACAAAAAAGACAACTTTAATTTGTGGCTATATTAATAATAACATATTAATATAAAATGTGTCCGCAGGACACCAATGTAATCGACTGAGTAGCGTATTGATTTCAACATTGGACTGGAAATCCAATCTTCTTTCCAATGCCGGGGAACACACACACACACACACACACACACCACCGCACAAACATCTTCTCCAGTGTACAAAATAGTATTTCGCACACAAGCCCCCCTCCTCCCACCCGTTCGTCCCTCACACCCACTCTCTCTTCTCTCTCTTATTCTCCTGTTCATGCCATATTAGGTGCAGAGGAGCCGAAAGTGCACAGAGAACACAACCCGTGCATTTCACACAGGCATCCAGAGAAACCCGACCAGAAGACAGCCTGGTACAGTGATGCTAGAGTAAACTGGCATTCTAATAGGCACGCGCTTTCAGCTTTCCTGGCTACATTTACCGTCCAGATTTACTTGAGGGGGAAAAAAGTTGGCAGAGAGACCTTGCCCTGCCTCGCGACCTTTTTTTCATCTACTTTTGAAAGTGAAAAGGCACCGAAGTCATGCTACAGAGAAAGTAAGTTTCCTTTTTGTATTTTTAAGATAATAACCCCCCTCCGGTTTAATGAAACCAACGTGCTGAAGTTATGGCAGCGCTAAGGCGTAAATTTGGAGAGGACTACCAGGTGGTGAACTCGAACAGAGGCGCGTCTTTCCCCAGCGCCCCGGTGAAGAAGAAGCGCCAGCGCTTCGTGGAGAAGAACGGACGCTGCAACGTCCAGCACGGGAATCTCGTCGGAGAGACCAGTCGCTATTTATCCGACCTTTTCACCACCCTGGTGGACTTGAAGTGGCGCTGGAACCTTCTCATTTTCATCCTCACCTATACCATCGCCTGGCTGGTCATGGCCTCGATGTGGTGGATCATCGCATATATAAGAGGGGACTTGAATCATGGCCATGACGCTTCGTACACTCCGTGCGTCGCCAATGTTTACAACTTCCCGTCAGCGTTCCTATTTTTCATTGAAACCGAGGCGACTATTGGCTACGGTTACCGCTATATAACTGAGAAGTGCCCTGAGGGCATTATCCTGTTTCTGTTCCAGTCTCTGCTGGGCTCCATAGTAGACGCGTTTCTCATCGGCTGTATGTTCATTAAGATGTCCCAGCCCAAGAAGCGCGCGGAGACGCTTATGTTCAGTCATGACGCGGTGATCTCACAACGAGACGGAAAACTCTGCTTAATGTTCCGCGTGGGCAATCTGAGGAACAGCCATATGGTGTCCGCGCAAATCAGGTGTAAACTCATAAAGGTGAAAACACACACTGCACACCTACAGCTCTACTTGGCCTTTAGTTTATTTACAATTATTACAACACAATACAGCCAAACAAAGAGTAGCCTACAAAGAGCTTTGTTTTGTTTTTGTTTTTTTTGTTTTTTTTAGAAATGCAGTAGCCTAGATTTGCATTAAGCCTATTCTCAATCGTTTTTTTTTTTTTAAATCATATTATAATTTTCTTTTACCTCAGCCATTTTACTGCATTTTTTTTAGAAATGCAGTAGCCTAGATTTGCATTAGGCCTATTTTCAATCGTTTTTTAAAATCATATTATAATTTTCTTTAACCTCAGCCATTTGACTGCAAAATAGTACATTTGTATTAAAAGCTGGCAGCTGTTTACAGAATTTTACCGTAAAAAGGAGGGTACAGTGACCAGCATTATGGGATTGTACTGTGGTGTGGTGACTGTATATTTGAAGAGTTTCAGATGTAAAAGCGTCTAAGTACCGTCTGAAATTTTCATCTAAAATGAGCATTATTATCAGGCTTCTTACAGCTCTACTTGGCCTTTAGTTTATTTACAATTATTACAACACAATACAGCCAAACAAAGAGTAGCCTACAAAGAGCTTTGTTTTGTTTTTGTTTTTTTTGTTTTTTTTAGAAATGCAGTAGCCTAGATTTGCATTAAGCCTATTCTCAATCGTTTTTTTTTTTTTAAATCATATTATAATTTTCTTTTACCTCAGCCATTTTACTGCATTTTTTTTTAGAAATGCAGTAGCCTAGATTTGCATTAGGCCTATTTTCAATCGTTTTTTTAAATCATATTATAATTTTCTTTAACCTCAGCCATTTGACTGCAAAATAGTACATTTGTATTAAAAGCTGGCAGCTGTTTACAGAATTTTACCGTAAAAAGGAGGGTACAGTGACCAGCATTATGGGATTGTACTGTGGTGTGGTGACTGTATATTTGAAGAGTTTCAGATGTAAAAGCGTCTAAGTACCGTCTGAAATTTTCATCTAAAATGAGCATTATTATCAGGCTTCTGTATTTATGTTCAGTTATTTCAATTTAATGGCATAGAAAAGGACCAATACATTTCGACGAAAGTAAAAGTACTGAACCTATGCGTAGGAGCCTGATAAAAATGCTCATTTTAGATGAAAATTGCAGATGGCACTTAGAGGCTTTTGCATCTGAACTCTTAATTTTTCAGTTCCTATTAGTCATTAAATTAGCTATATGTGAATACCAAACTATTTATATCTATATACCAAAAATTTCCTCTCTAACAACGTTAGCAACAACCAATAATAGGTAGCCTAATATAAAAACAGAGCAGGCAAAATATACCATTAGTAACAAACGTGATACTAAAATAGTGCAATAAACTAAACGCCTTAAATTGCGACATAAAATACTCCAATATAACTCAAAACAAATGTGATTAAAGGCTGGGAATTAAAATAAGGTGCTTTATATTTTTTATTTATAAAACATTTTTGACAATATTTTACAGTAATGTGTTGGATATGGTAAAGTGACTTACAGTTAACCTACATAACAGGATTTTTATTGGAAAATTACAGGAAAATGACATTTTTTTTACACTGTATGGTTCAACAAATTTCAGGTGTTGCTTGTGTTTAAATCACCAAGCTGTTTGAAAACGATTCCTTTTCATTCATTCATTCATTCATTCATTCACTCACTCACTCAGAGGTTTTTTATGTGTCAAGATGCAATACTGGAATGACTTATTTATCTCAATATCCATTAAGTATTTAATGTTGCTGTTGCTATCAGTATGTGCATACAGGTTATGATGTAGCTGATTTATTTTTATGATTTTTATTTCACTTAAATACTCTAACTATTTAGCAGTGTCGTATCATTAAATTTATATATTTTAAGTTTTTTTTAATAGTTATGTGTATTTTGGTATCTCTTTATATATGTTATGTGATGTAGGTGGAATCCTTTTTGACTGTCAGATAAATTTAGTGAGCTTCAGTGGTACTTCACTAGAGAAAAGTTTGTTTATGAAAAATAGTTAACATGGGTAAATTGTTTGGCAGTGTTGAACCATAAGCTGGATGTTAGTCTGTAGTGGAAATTCATTTATTTATATCAAGTTGACAATATGTTTTACATATTGTGTAAAACACTGAACTGCAGAAATATCAGAAAGTTATTATAAGGGTTTACTTTTTTTACCGGGAAAAGAGTAGGCCGTTTAAAAATATTTTATTCATATTTTGCATTGCTGAAATCAATAATGCGTAGGAATAACTAGTCTTGTCTGTTCCTCACAAAAAGTTTAGTAAGTTTTAAAAAAGTGGCATGATTAATTTCTTTCATATTGTCATTCTTTTTTGATGCAGTTGTATGTATGCCAGTGCAAATATTAATAACATTTAGGACCTTAAAATGCCTCATTGCTGGATCAGTTTGGGGTCCGTGAACCCGTGGGTGTCTCGTGCATGTAAGGGAACTGCAGGGTGTTTGTGAGTTGATAAAAAGCTAATAATTATTTAAATTGTAAAAATGAAATGAAAGATTTTTTAAATAAAAACAATCAAAATAAAACTAAAAAATAACTCATTTATTTGTTTACCTGCATGTCCTGTGACCATTAACCAATATGTTAAATTATTAAAATATAAACTTAAAATTTCAAGGGGTAAATATTTTGTCAAAAGAGTTTGTCTTACAAAAAAGTTTGTGAACCCCTGCTCTAAGGCATAGTGCACTGAATGTTTGTCCTGATTTTAATAATTGACATTGAGTTTTTCTGGAATGGACTTTTCCCCTTTAGAAATGTGCTGTCTTCTTTCACAGAAAGCATACCGAGCAAAGATTTTTGAGAATAAGTGACAATCAAGGAACCTGTGAAATGTGATTTAGCAGGACGTCAGTACAGATGAGAATTCTAGGCGCGTGGGTACCCCTTTCACAACTGATTACCAGTTACATGAAAAGGCTTGAAATTTTATTATTGTAATCTCGACATGGACAGCCATCGTCACAGTTGAACAAGATGAGACTCCAGTGACAAAAGGTTCAGATAAGAGAGTTTTACAGACGGCTGTGTCCAACATCTGTCACTCGTAACCAGTGACATTTAAACAGACCTGCTCACTAATTGGAAGGTGGTTCCACGTCAGCGATAATTCCATGGGTTTTAAAGGGGTTGTTCCAAAATGCGAAGAGAAAAGACAATGTTTCTGGGTTTTGAGCTCATAAGCCTCTCTAAGACTCCTGCAGGAGCTGAGGTCAGCCAGAGAGATGCCGGAAAATTAGCATTTGCACACTTGTGAAGGAGGATTTTTTTTTTTTGTGCCTTATAGCCTCAGGCAATAACTTTCAGAGCCTTAGAAAATGTAGCAGAATAATTTACAGATGTTTACACTGCTGGAGCTGTACGAAATATATTCTGAGGGGGAAAGGAGTTGTTTTTGTCAATGGAATTGCTTTCTTCTAGAAGAAGATGCTTACATAACAGCTCTAGTAAAAAAAAATACTATGCATTCTTACACTATACTTTGATGCTACTGTGTGAGTGTTTGTTTGTCTGTCTGCTGTATATCAGCTCGGTCAACGGAAGGGCTTAAAATGAAATTAATAAGGCAAGGAAAGTTGACACATGGACATCACACTCACACAATAGGATTTCTTCCCTGTAATTGATGAATAGGACTGTCAGTCAAAGGCCGCTGATAAGGTGAACAAAATGGTCAGTGTAATAGAACTGAACTTTTTTGGCCCATATTCTTTGAAACTGTGTGATCATCTGAATCTATCCAGTATAATTATGTTAAAATAACTGATCTCAGCCCGCAGAACAATTACAGAGTTAAAACAGGTGAATATTCTTCAAAGATATGGATGGATGACCTTTCAGGCCCACTTCAAAAATCTTTTGCATAGCTCACAGTAATTATCTAGTGCCAAGTGAATGCTGTGATTGATTAAGAGTCTTTGGTCAATGGCGTCTGACTTAATGAAGCAGACTGTCAGTTTAAGCTATGCTGAAGTTTTTCTCTCAATAAGAGAAGAATAAGAAGAGGAACAGAGGATAAACAGGGAAAGCACAGTAAGGTAGTGAGAGATAGTGAAAGGTTTGCCAGAATAGTATAAGGTTGGGACAGCATCAGGGAACACAAACAAAATAGACTGTGAGAAAAAGAGAACTTGATTTATTGGAAGTAAAAGGGGGAAAAAATAGTCTGAAAACGGAAATGAATACATAAATTGGAAAAGAAGAAATCTCTCTCTCTCTCTCATATAACCCTAACTCTGTTCTCATCATTATTTTTTCCTTGTGCTTCAGGGCTATATAAGCAGCCAAGAGTTTTTTATCTTTAAAGAACCCACATCCAGAGCACCAAAGATGTGGAATATGAATACAAATTTAAATTCCATAGTTGTCAGAATAATTGAAGAGTTGTAGAATAGAAGCAGTATGTGTACATATTATGTATATATATATGGAATGGATTATTATCATATCAAATTAAAATGTTTATGTATATTACAGATCAATATTGATATAAACATAAATATAATGCACGGAAAATAAAATAAACACATTTTTATTTAGAGGCAGAGAATAATTTAGTGTAGTCTGGTGTATCTCTTTCTGTGCCTGGACTACTCTGTCAAAGAATAGACATTTATATTATTTTATATTAATGAATTTAAAAAATATATTAAAATAACAGTACTAGCTAGATGTGCACTGGAAGGGCTTGCCTATACAATAACAGTTGAAGTAGGCTACTTAAGAGCACTTAACATGTACCTACCTGAGCTGGCATTGCGTTCTGTATTTTAATCACATACAAACCAGCTCTCTCTCTCTCTCTCTGCCAATTTGATAAAGCCAGCATAACCAGTCCATTTAGATTCAGTCGCCCACACACAATCTCAGTCATTCCCAGTAACCTTTTGTCAGATCATGTCTCATCATGCCGGATAAACAAAGCAGAAACATTTAAAATGTGCTTTGATAATATTG